AACACAAGTGAATCCTCAACACACTTGTTCTATGGCAAGGAGGCGCCGTTCAGACACCTCTTCTACTATCGTGGTTACAAATGACACGCTTCGTACTAGATGCAGCACAAGAAGCAGTTGTCCCGGTGACAAGATTGGAGCTACGCTTCAGAGTAACGACAGATTTTGTGGCCTGTGCTTTGCCAGCGCGGGGGGCGATATCCCAAGTGAAGGAACTGATAAAAGTAGCAGCGGTGACGCCGCCCAAGGGAGAAGCGGGGCTTGCAGTGGTAGGTAGACGCTGCAGCGGTGTCGACCTTTGTTAATACTAACTTTATGTTTGCACTTTACTAATAAATGTAGTTTCTCGTTTTCCGAAATCCTGGCTCCGTGATGTTCCTCTGGGTTAAAGGAGCTGCGCAACGACTTTAAACGTTGAAAGAATTGGTATCTTCTGCTTTTGAGATTGTTTATCTTGTCACAAAGGACACAAAACAAACCTCCTTCCTTCGAAATGTTGCGATTCCGCCGCGAAATCGCGAGGTAAAAATTATAATATTTCCCGACCTGCAGCCGCGAGCGGCGGCCTTGAGAACCACGCGGCTTGACGTCACTGGGGTCTTCTCAACGGGTCTTGTAGAAAGACAGCAAGTTGTGCGAATACCTGCTCGATAAAAGGTAATTTTTCTATAGATCTCGTCGTTCGAACATAAATATAAATGCGTCAAAAACCTGGTGTCATCGACAAATATTTTATTATACGGAGTTTTAGTGGCGTCATCTATCCTAGGTCCACAAAACCGTCAGCTCTCTCTGCTACCCGGATGAGACTTTCTTGCTTTCACCTTATGTTCGCGCTGCGCCAGCACGTGGTCGCGAGCGGATGAGTTTTCGCTGCTCACTGATGGCTCTAAAGAGAGCTTCACCAGAACCCCGCGCTAACCCCATTGACGTCACAGTGCACGTGACTCGGAAGATGGTGAAGGAGTTGAGGTGTGCCGAACACCTCAACCCTTGTCCATTTTTAAAATAAAAACTAGGACATGCAGGAAAAAGCGGTTTTTTTGTTTTTTACTTCAGAAAGGTCGAGACACCCAGGCTTAAAATCATGGTTGCATTATCTGGAATCACAAGAAACGCTTTTCCGCCCTCCACAAATGTTTAAACAGTTCGCGACAAAGCCGAAGCAATATTACGAGCTTCCTAAAAACGAATCTAATGCTGAGGAAGTCGCAACTTTGAATCATGACGATTCGACAGTTGCACCCACTCTGCACAAGCACCAAGATGGCGGCGTCTACAACAATATCGGGGAACAGAGTGCCGATAGCGTAGCTCATTTAGTGGCTTTAGTGTTGTTTCACATGCTGGAAACGCACGAAATATACTTTAAAATGAAACCGGCAGCTACTTATTTTCGAGAAAACCAATTAAAAATGTCCAGACTTCACAATATTTCAGGAAATACGCTATCTACCAAAGCCACTTGCAGTTTGACAAAAGGGTCACGATAAACTTTTTTTCTTGCAGCCAATTTTACGGAAGAAGTCTGTGAGAGTGCAATCCGTGCAATTCCCCAACACACGCAAGCGAGGGTGAAGGTCAGCGGCAGCCACAGAAGCTGGCAATTCTAACGTTTCATTTTATTTTGTGCCTCTGCGAACAACACGTCCGAAGTGCTCCAAGTCCCCCGGAGTGGGACCCCCAGTTTCGGGTACTACAGCTGGTGCAACTCCCTCCAGGTTCGCCTGGTAATAAGAGTGCACTGAACACATCGGTTGCGTTGCCAGCGTCGACCGAGAAAACGACAAAACATAATTGGCAGCTTCCAATTTTTTAAATTTTCCTGCTAAATTTAGCGGGGAAACTAAATTGGTGTGTAGTTCACGTGACACAAATTTTCCCGCTAAATTTAGCGGGGAACCTGAATTGGTGTATGGGTCCTGTGACGTCAATCTTTCCGCTAAATTTAGCGCAAAAACTGAATTGGTCTGTAGGTCCCACGAGATGAAATTTCCCGCTAAATGTAGCGGGGAAACTGAATTCGTGCAAGGCCAAGTGAAATCAATTTCACCACTAAATTTAGCAAGAAATGTGCAGATGGACAAAATTTGGGGATTGGGGGGTGGCGTTCGAAAAAGCATTTCCTGCCTTAAAACAAGGAATGCCGCGAACCTCCCGAAGTTCGGGTTCAAAAGGTTTGATTTTGAAAGTTTGCAACTTTAGAGCCCAGCTGAAGTTTGAATTCAAATAATTAAAAAAATGTTACGGTTTCTGAAAGTTCGTGTTCGAAGATATAGATTTTTTAGGTAGTTACGAAATATTCAAACATTTAGAATTTTCATTAAAATTCAAGTTCAGAAACTGCATTTTTTTTTAAATACAAGTTTGAAAGTTTCGATTTTAAGTTCCAAGTCTGAATTGAAAGGGATACTTCAATGAAATTTGAAATATACCCTTCGTGTTCAAAAATAGATTGAACATCATCCACAATATCAGTAAATGACAATCACACGTTTGTATATTGAGCCTGGCGGCTGTATTTTTCATTATAAACGGCCCACTCTGGCCAGTGCTCGGAGAACCGCCAGCGGAGACCACGTGACATCCAACGCAATCGTGACATAGCTCGTCTCGGGACGAGCAAAGCTGCGGCGGAGCCGACGTCGAGAGGATGGCCTAGTCGTTCTAGCCACTGAAGCGGCTGCTTTTGCACAAAATTTGAGCGACGGGATAATCTTCTATTAACCTTGTAGAAGGACAATGGCGACTTCTAGGTCACCAAAAAGGGATTCCCGGGAAGAGGGGAGTTCCTCCTTCCCCTCTGCTCTCGTCGTGGCCGGAGGCGAGACAGTTACCGTCACTACCTCTCAAGCTTCCAAGACGGGCATTGCGATTTTTGGCGGGATGACCCGTGGGATGGAGAAAACAATGAGCACAGGCACATTACCAGACACAAGTGAGTGTTGACGAGAATCTAACCAGACTAAATTAGGGGCCCACCCGGCCTACTAGAGCTGATCAGGTCACGACCGGTTGTTACCGGTTTAACCACATTGCCACTGCTTGAAACTTTTCTTTTTCGACGAACGGAATGCAGCCGGTTACTAATGGTAATGAAGCAAGCACCGATTCAGCATTCGATGTAGCGCATTGGTGTCGCTCTCCTCGCACGCTTTCCTTGATGCACGGAAATCAAGGGACTCGAGTTCAAAAACAACCAACGTTATAAAATATGCTCCCAGCAAAGTGCCCCGGTTGAATTTCAAGACTGCAGATCAGGGATCTGGTGGCCTACAGGTTACCTCGGGGCAACCTAAAAAAGTTGTGTGCGCGAAAGGCTCCGTGCGGAAGTCTAAAGAAAAAAGGTGAGGTATGAGGCCAAGGAAACCCCAAAGCGATCTTTCAGCGCTTTACAAGAGTGTCGTTTGTAGCATGATCAGCTAATGGTCAGACTTAGTGCAAATTCAACTCTTCACACATTGACATCTTGTGTTTAGATCTGTTGCCTGGAACCTATGGGGGTGAACTTGGTTCGAACGCTGTCGAATTTTTGTTCAGAAGTTCGTCAAACTTTTGAACTCAACAGGTTCGAAATTTCGGCACTCGTCGAATTTCTTAGCGTATTAAGTTTGAAAATGTTGAATTTCATAAAGCGAAAAATTGAAAGTTAGAAAACAATCAAACTTCTCAGCGTCAAAAATTCGAAAGACGTCGAAATTTTTATGAAACAAGTTTGATGTTGCGAAACCTTCCAAACCTTTCGAACCCCTTGTTTCAATCTTTGAACCTCAGGCTCAAAAAGTTTACAGCATCTCTACTTAAAACCAGATTTTTCGGCCCGCATAAACAAACTATGCGCTGCAGAAACCTTAAACTTCATTCGATTGACACTAGTGACGAGGATAGCAAGCGAGAGTTTCAGAACATGACTTTACCTGGGCCAAAAGACAAAATTTGTCTGCTAGCCAACATTCACCGAAGCCCAATTTCATCTAACCAAAAAATATTGTTGTGGGCATCTGTGGCATTCATTTTAGTAATCCATATCTGTCAGCAGAATTATGACATCTCCTCGCTGACAAGTTTGTTCCATTGAAATAAATGCCACAGGGATCCAGTGTCATTTGCTGCAAATGGATGTTGGCTCGAAAAACAAATTTAATCCTTCCCTCTTCCGATCCAGATAATGTCGCGTTTCGAAATTTTCACATTCCATCTACACTGCTAGCGTCCCATCCTGACAGAGTTGAGCCTTTATTTAGGCGGGCCAAAAAAACGGGTTTCATTCTCTAGATGGAGACCAGTAGATTGTTTGGTTTTTGCCAACTTGACATATTTATATAAGCGGCATGCTTTACATTAAAGTATGAAGAAGGAGCCTTTAGGATAAACGAAAGCGACAGAGGAGTGCCGGTGCGGAGATGGAACACGTTTCATCTTCTAGTGGTCAAAGCGCAGCTAATGGGCGAAGAAGCGAAAACATTTGCCGTTGCGGTAGCGGCACTACACAAAAAAGAATTGTTTGCCGCTGTTACATACAAGGAGACGGAGAACACCACAATGGGCTTAGCGCAGGGGGCTTTGGCATAGAAGCAACAAAGTCTAGGGCTCACAGAAGGGTGATCCGGAGATGCCTTCATACACACTTTAATACATCGCAGCCGCAAAAAGGCCTTGCTGATGGAAAAGCCAGATGGGTGTGCCATTTTTGTTTTGCTCCTTTGTAAACAAAAAAGGAAAAAGCATGAAAACGTCGCACTGTTGACAGACGACGCTTTCCAAGTCAATAAATACCCTGCCTAAAATCTGAGAGCAAAAAGGCGCTCAGCTACTTGTCCCCACATCCACGCACCAAAATGGCGATTTGGGTTGCAGTGTTAATTTGCAATAACACACCGGTTCTGTCAGTTACTTTTGGTATGCCAGACTGTAAACTGTCTGGTTGACACCGACATGACATTGCATGTGTATAAAAGGAGGCCTTCGGAATAGACAAAAGCGGCAGATGAGGCAAGCCCTATGTCAAACAAGTCTTTATTCCCTCGGCTGCAACAGCACCAGGAGACATGGCTCTCGACGCACGCCCCCGCGGAAAGGGCTGCAGTCGACCTGCGGGCTCACTCCTCATCTGCATCTCCCTCGGTCACGATCTCTTCCTCCTTGATGAGGAACTCCACCACCTCCTCCTCCAGGTCCTCCAGGTTGCTGTCCAGCTCGTCGGTGTCGACGCCTGGACACCGCACAGAAGGCAGAGTGTGCATTACTCCCAGGTGGACAAGCATCCAACCCGACGACAAACTAGCTGCGCTTACACATGGATTCGACTGCGGCATGACGAATTGAGAGGGGACCCATTGTGCACACCCAGTCTCCCCCTTTTCTGTTGTACCCAACCTCAGCCAAACACTAGAATCTTTCGAAGAAAAGCACGGAGGGATCGGGTTCCCACACCAGGTAATGGCAGTGTGTGTCGTAGAGTGTCGAACCATCGGAATTCAACTAGTGAAACCTGTTTAGAACAAACCCACATACAGCGAATTATTGTCGATATTGAACTCACGGAAAATTTAAATAAAAATGCATGTAAAAAGTATGTTTTATAACGATCAACATATTGGTTATATAAAATTTTTCCCCCGGAAGGCTTCCAAAAACACACAAACAATCATCTTCTAGCCTGTCCCTTCCCCCAAAAAAAGAAATAGGAAAGAAAGGAAATTTGAAAAGCTCCAGTTGCAAACAAAATTGAGAGAGGAGAAGCGATTTAGAAGAGGGAGAAAGCTGAAAAATACACTCTGCGTGCACGCACAGAAAAAAAAAAAAAGAAATTCATCCCAAAGCGTTTGTTCACGAAGAGAAGAGATTCAAAAAGAGGGATGAGCTAAAAAAACAAACGCTGCAAGAATGCAAAAAAAAAAAAAAAAAATCTTTTTAGCGTGTTTTTACAAGGCGGAAGTGAAGAGATGAGAAAGAAAGAGAAGCTCTCGGCCTTACAACAAACTCAACGTGGAAGTTCATTGTAAATGTTTTGGGCTATATCAAACTACTTGCTATATTGAACTGATCGTAGCGTTTCCTGCTGTTCGTTATAAACGGGTTTGACAGTATGTACCAATTGCATTGGTTAATAGTAAACACCAAACGAATTAATGTATTCGCACGGTCCCCCGACCCCTGACATTTCCCGGTAAATTTAGCGGCATAGGTCAACGGTGACGAAACATAGTCTAACACCGCGACATTAAGTCCAGGACAGAGTGGCTAAATAAACTACGCTTGAGTGATGACATTTCAACAATCTCACTGCATAAAACCATGGTCGCCAATAATCATGTGCGAATAATGTTTTTTGAGTTTGCAGCGAATGATGGTTCTGGCCGAATATTTTCAAATAGAATATTGAGTAGTTTCTCCAAACCTATCACTACTGTTGCACAATGCTTAAACGAAAATCAAGCTAAACTTGTGAAGGTTGTTCCCACGCTTCAACTTGTCCATTGATAAGCTAATTTTAATCTAACTATATTTATGGACAGTGACCTATGAAAGTCCAATGCCACAGGATGGCAAGTAAATGACGGATATGACATAAAATGATACCTATAGAAATGCCCAGCTATACCTAATTGGAATCAAGCGGATTTATAAACCTTCCTACAAAGAAAAATCCCTCAATCTCGAAATAAAAAAGTATCACAAATGATGAATGCAGGTTATCAGGGCATCTCTGCCTAGCATACACAATTGTATAACAGTCAGTTTAATTTTGCCAGAAAGTCGGCCACTTTCTGGCAAAAAATGCTGTGGACGAGCTCAGCTCGTCCATTGGTTTTTTCGGTTGCTCTCAATTCCACGGACGAGCTCGGCTCGTCTGAGTAGTATAGCGTCGCTGATTATAGATGGCAGCACTCGTATTAGTTGGCAAATATTTTTTTTGCATCCGCTGATTTTTGCGTAATAAACTTTCCAAATTTGATGTGTTATATACTACTACAGGAGTAACAATTCAAAATAAAAAAAATCTGGCACTTTTAGGTCACTTTTGGAAAAAAAAAAAAAAATTGGCACTTAAGGGGTTAACATTTACCAAGTTTCACTCAAATTGAGTGCGTTGGTAATAAATTCAAAAATATGCGAAAGAGTCAGACGAAGAGGATGGGCAGGACAAACATCTTTCGACTTTCAACACATTAAAAACATCTTTCGACTTTCAACACCTCAATGTGTTGAAAGTCGAAAGATGTTTGTCCTGTCCGTCCTCTTCGTCTGACTCTTTCGTATATTTTTGAACCAAGTTTCAGTCTGTTTTTAAATACGTTAGGTTTGCACGTGCACCATACCGCTTTCGAAGTGTTGTGCCTTTCTCCCAAGCATGCAATTGCGATGCTCATACTTTTACAAGTGTTCATCGCAGCGGGTTAGCCCCGTTGACTGCGCTTTTTACCGAGCACCTGCGCACTGCAGAGAAGCGACACCCGTGGAGCTCGCTTCCGCAGGTGTCGCTTCCCCACAGTGCACCCGTGCTCGGTAAGCAGTGCACTCTACACTTGGAGAAATGCAAACGTCGCAGCTCCTCTCGAAGTGCACATCAAATAGCGTATTATTTGAAACTACTACTCGAAATTTCTAATGTTCGCACAACCCTAATTGCCAATTATCTTAAGCTTCATCTGAAACAGCAGGAAACGTTTTTCCGCCCTCCAAAAATGTTAAAGCAGACCGTGACAGAGCAAAACAACATTGCCCAAACTTCAATACCCCGTGTTCAAAGCTTGAAAAAACATGTTTTGGAGTTGTGAACTGCAGCTTTTGCGCACACCTTACACCAAAACACAAAATGGCGGAGCTCCGAGACAGTCGAGGAACGGAGTGCCCACGCTCTAAGCGAACCTTATTTGGCGGCTTTAATCCACGCCGTGAAGGTGTCCCGCGTTAAAAAAGGATCAGAAGAAGCCGCTCACCGTCCCTAAGCTCCATGCGCAGCTCCCGCATGTTCATGTACTCCTTGGCCTTCCTTTCTTGCAGGGCTCGGAAGTCTTCCAGCATCTTTTTTCGCTTCTCCATCACCTCCTGCAAGATCGGACGCCGACGTGCGTCAGAGGGAGCACTGCTGCCACCGGTGCGCAGGCCCGCCAAAAGTCGCCGGAGAGCCGACCGCAACCATTTGCACCGTCGGCGATTGACGAGGTATTCATGCCTCGTCGACACCGGCAGTAAACACACCAGTCAATGCATTCCAGGCACCATCACGCAGCTTTCTAAGTTGCCTCGTTGCGAAACTAAAGCGCCGTCTAAGACCGTCAATTTGAGGACTTCCGAGGCAAGGAGAACGCCACTTTTGCACTTCAAGAACCTCCGACGTGCCAAGAAATAATTAATTTATTCGTTCGAAGCACCACATAAGGGTGTCGAGACAATGCCCAGGATATTTTACGCAGCTGAAAAAAACAAATCGCATCACTCTGGGAGTTGCGCGAGTCGTCTCGAACCCCATAACTACCTTGTTCACATTCTCTTCAAATCAAAGCATTTTTAGTGCTTCGCTTGTCATCAAAATTAAGTTTCGTAAATTATATTACTTATAATGACAAAGACGACTCGTTACTTGTTAAAATATTACGAGTCCTGTACTGCTGTCGCACACAATCGACGAGCAGCAAGCGGGAGACCCAGATGGCAGGTTCTCAAACAAATTCTTTGCAAGGAAAAAATAAAAATAAAAACCAAAGGACTTAGAAAAATTATTTCAGTCACTTTGATGTCTCTTAGAGGCATAAATGACATTAAGGGGGGACATGGGCCTAAATTTTAAATTTTTTTGAAAAAATTCATTTTTTAATTTTCAGGTTTTCAGTTTTAGAAACTAATTATACACCCTTACACCAAATTTGATGACCATATGCCAAATAGTTACGTTGATATAAAATATTTTCAACACATTGTGAGGCAGTAACAAAGTAAAGGAGTTCAATGTTTGAGTGCATTTTTCTCAGTTCCACTTTTTGCTGCAAATTTCATACGAAGGAATCTTTTGTTCGAAGGTGAAAGTATTCTGTTACCACAATCAAGATGTTTCTGAACTGAAATTTACTCAGGAATCGGGCTATCTACTTTATTTTGTTTTAAGTTGAACTCCTCAGTGAGAAAAAAAACTAAGTTTTCAAAAATTGACAGATGTCAGATATGCATCTCATAGTTTGAGGTAATAACTCTTCCTGAAATATTGACATTTAAGTTATTAAAACTAGATAGCCCGAGGTCCCATATCCCCCACTTTATATTCAAGCAGTCAAAATGGTGCTTAATAGCTTGATTTGCATATCATAGATTTCTTAATGAAAAGTGACATATCATCTTATGCAGGTATGTAAATTTGTACTAGAGAGCTGAAAGTTTGCACAGTACACCTACATCTGAAGCTAAATCTCCCCTGCAAATTTCATTCCAATCACTTGAGTAGTTCAAAAGTTTGACCTCTAGCCAGTGTCCCCCCTTAAAAAAAATATGTTAGAATAAGTGGTTTCAGCTTTAAAGGCGAAAGCCTTCTATGTTCCATTACAAGGAGAGGCGTTGGCATTGTGCCCAAAAAATGGTCGCACCATACATCATCAAGCATACACCGCTCAAGGTCAAAGCGGATGCGCCTCAGAAACAAAACGCAAAAAAAAAGCACAGCAACGCAGGTGCTTCGTCACTGAAGCCGTGAAGCCAGCGGGGGCGGCGCACCTGTGCAGTGGGCGAGCGTGATGTCAACGCTGGACTATAGTGTTTTCGCATTCCTACACATGAGCAGACTTAAGTTTCTTTGGCATGTTTTTTTGTAGTCTCTGGCACGAGTATACATTTATAAAGGCCGTAATTGAGGAATTCGTGATAAAGTGTGAATGCCTCGTCGAAGGTTGACAGGGCATGAATGTGCGGTTTCATTATGGAACCGCTCCTCCTGTACAGACTGATGGGGTACGAATGTACATTTCTAAAGGCCTCTAACGAGGGATTTGTGACGAAGCATGAATGCCTCGTGGAAGAGTGACGAGGCAGCAATGTACAGCTTTTGTAGGGAACTGATCCTCCTGTGCCTACCGACGAGGCATGAAAGCACAGTTTAAAAAGCCTCCGACGAGGCATTCAAGACGAGTCACGCATGCCTTGCCAGAAGCCTATCAAAGGCCCACCGGACCCAAAAGAGATCCCGTCCTTCCGTGTCACCTTAGAGGCCTTGGTCATGGAGGCACGGTCCCTGAGGTCAAACTGCTCCGAGTACTTCTTGAAGTTCTTGCGGATCTCGCGCAGCTTCTCCTCCGTGATGAGGGAGGGCGGCCGGGGCCGCCAGAGCAGCTGGCAAAAGCGGTCCATGTTGCACTTGCGCAGCACCCGGCCCTGGAAGGACCACAGCCAATAGGCGTTGTCCGTCTTGTGCAGCCACCAGGAGACGCCTGTGACCACGTAGCGCCCCGTCGGGTCCCACTCCACGTCCGAGGCCATAAAGTGGTCGTTCTGGTTCATCACCGTGAAGTCCGACGTGTCCACAAACTCCAGCGAGCCGCTCATCCTGCTCGGAGGGGTCGAGAGTTTGGGGAACGGCACCACATTTGCACTAATATAAGGCCACACAAGTTTCAAAGTCAATAAAAAAAAATTAAAAAATTATTATCATTAAAACGCGAACACAAAGCAACTGCACTCGAGGGCATAGCAGAAGTGAAAAGGGGACGAGAATCGGAAAAATGTTGTGCACGTTTTAACTGCACTCATTGTCACTGCTCGGCTCCTTGTCATTGTCACCACCTCGGAGATACGCTCGTCTTGCAGTTTCTTTTTCTTCAGGGTGAGCTCTTTGTCCGCAACCACAGCGCACCGTGTCAAGTCAATTAGGTTACGAAGGGCACGAAGCAGAAGCACATATGGCAGAACACTCGAGCAGGAACTAAAAAATGCACAGGCAGAACAAAGAGTGCTAGAAGCGATACACAATCTTCTTGCCCCTGCTCAGGTTGCTTTGCAAAAACGAACGCTTTAAGTTTCGTGACTGCGTAAACACGGCCAGCAGTCTTGGCTTGGCTTGAACTGGCTGGCGTCACACGCTCCGATGTGGCGCCTCGTGCTTCTGCCGTTTGTGTGGCCGTATGCGTTGTACAAACACGAATATGACAGAGTACTTTACCAGTTCTTTATACCTCCCTTTGCTTGCGCAACAGTAACAACGTTCCACCCACACCCCCGTTTCTTTTTGCACTTAATATCCCACGATCAGTTGGAGGGATGGCCTTCTTCCCACCCAAGCGTCTCGTGGCCCAGCTCGATTCCGAATATAACGAGTGTTTCAGAGCGCGTAGTTTGGAAAATAAACTTAAGTTATATTTGTGAAAATGCGAAACCTCTCCCGCAGCATGTGTGTGCCGTCAACAATGAAGTTGGCGACATGCCAAGAGTGCAGCATAAGCTCCGCTTCAGTGCGAGCTTTCTGCTTTCAAGACAGTCCTACGAGCGCACGCGGCTGAAGTACAACAGAAGGCTATGAGTGCATTCTGGAGGAGGTGCTAATCCTGCATTCCTGTGATCAAATTAGAAATATTATGTGCTGAGCTAATGAAGGGCACACGGCACACCTCGGCGGAGAATCGAGTATTAATTTTGACCTCAATAATTTTTCGACGCGCAACCGAAATTTTTGCCTTCTCTGTGCAAGCTTCCCTTGGACCGCAGGCACCTCGGCTGGAATCCAAACTTGCCACCCGAGAATCCGTAGTGTGTTTTCCACGTGCCGCCGACAGCAGAGCCGACAGATGCTTCCCAAGTACCAAAATCCCACAAGCTTCCGTCTCAGAACCGCTGCGCAATGCTCAAGCAGACGGTTAAGTTAAAGGGAGACTGACCCCCCCCCCCCCCCCCAAATTTATTTTTGATTTTTAGTTAAGCGATTCATTATGATGTCAGAAGACAACCCAGTAAATATTTTGATACAACGTTGCACATATTTTTAATAAAGTCAAAAAACGCAACTGCTTGAAACCGAAACTGGACTGGGGAGGAAGAACAAATATAGAGGAGAGGAGTGTTGCCAAAAGTCACATGGCTATTTATGGCTAGGGTTCCGTGGATTTTTCGAGTGCAGTGACTGAAAACTCTATGCTCACACTGCTGGACGCACCGCAAGTGCACGCCTTCCCCGTATAAAAGATTCAAAGTAAATAACCAAAATAAAGTGTTGACAAACACACATGCAAGATGTCATTTGTATTAGAATTTTGCTTTAGAACAGTTACTGCTGCAGACGCTGGCACGTGCGGTGCGTAGAACACCATTCCCCGCATTCTCCTTGATGCTTGTGTAATTTAGCAATACATCTGCTCAGCAGATTAGTTATCAATAGGCACCATTTTCAAGATCAGTAGACTCTCATGCAGATAATAAAGGTTTCTCAAAGATTTGCCGCTGTGCGACCCGTGTCGGCCATGTCTACGCTTGAAACCGCCCTCTCCTTCTCGTCGTTCCAAGCGCTTGCTTGCCTAGTTTCAGTTTCTTCCACTCTCCCCGGGTGGCAACCCGTCGCGCGTGTCTAGTTTCCTCCGGCTCCTCAGGGCGGGTCTGTGTCGTGGGCCAAACAGCTTCGCTGGTCATCCAACTTCACAGAGTGGAATGGCTCATGATTTTTTTTCAGCCAATGTATTTGCAGCTTTTCACAAGCCACAAAAAAGTAAATATCCTTTGATGACCCATGACTTTGGTTTCCTTTGGTGGTTGTGTCTAAACAATAGAAAACGGAGAGCGAGCGTGACTCAAAATGACGACTTCTCGACTGGCTGTTTTTGGGCGAAAAGAAAACTAATTTCGAGCCGTAAACTGTGTTCTGGGTAGTAGGACTCTCACGTCGCATACAAATAAAAACCTTGGCGGGCATAAATACCCTGTCAGTGTCCCTTTAATGCAAGACATTCTTTGGCTAGGTGCTTGGCATTTCATGAAGCCCAAAAGTGAAACCTGGATAAAAGCGTGGCCGCGAGGCTCGACAATGATTGGTTTTGGGTAAGGGAGGGGGAGGGGGGGGGGGACATGGACATTGCAGTAAAAAAGTGTTTGCACCATATAAGAATCGAACCCAGACCATTTAAATTCTTAAGCTAGTGCCTTCACAGCATGTAACGACGCACCGCTGTCAGTTGAGGTGCCATTTGGCCGGGGGCCCGCGGGGCAATCCGCTCTGTGTCCGACAGACGGCAGCCTAAAGGGACATCCAAACAGGACACTTCAGAAATCCTGGGGCAACACAACTCTGTCATAAGTCGTGGAAGCTGAAGCAGCTGGCGTCCGGCAGTTTGATTTGTGTTTGAACACCACCAAGCAAGCATCACGACTTTCCTCCCCGCTTCCTCTGTTTTTCGGTGACTACGGTGCTCGTCAGACTTTACGTCGCACGCCACCAGCCAATGGTGTGCCTGTTGCCTGTTCACCTGTTCTGCCGGGCCCTTGCATCCTTGGCCACATTCCAAAATATACTCAATCTTACTCCCTGGTAAGTCACTCTATATCTGTTAGCACGTGACGAGACCCGCCGGAGTAATTTATATCTATTTGGGTAAAATTTGGAACACAGCCCCTCCCTTCCGTTTTCGGGACTTGGAACAGCAGCAGAGGCCTTGAGCAACTGACCGAAATGAAAGCCAACAGAGCATGCGAGTGGCTGTTTGAACCCATGTCATGAGCATGCTCAAAATGCCTGTAAAGGACATAAACGAACTCCGACAAAAAAAAAAAGAAGAAAAAAAAAAAAAAAGAAACCACCCCCTTCCTTCCCTTGCGGCAAAAAGAAACTGACGGAAGCAGAGCGCCACATGACATGACGAAGTTGTGTCGCCTCACGATTTATGAAGTGTCCATTTGAACAGGCCTTGACACCCTGTCGCACGTTCCTAAAACCCAAGTTGGTACCGACATCTCCCTTCCACGAATCGCTATTGAGCATACACGCCACACGTAGAGCCAGTCGCTGAACTAACTGATGGAGAGCACTTAGAGCGTGGACGCAGCACGCTTCGCGTGCAACACGACTGCCCGGCGATTCGCTCCGCATTTTTCGCGGCAGCCAAGAGCAAACAAATCGCCGTTTTAAACGCTGCACTCACGTCCTGAGTCCCGCGAGCACGATGAACTGTCCGGCGGGGGACCAGAAGATGTGGTTGCACTGCTTGCGCTCAAACTTCTTGAGCAGGACGGCCGAGGCCCCCGGCTTGACGCCGTAAAAGCTGACCGAGATGTGGGGACTCTCGCCGTGGATGATGGCAAACTTGCTGCCCACGGGTTCCCAGGCAAAGGCCACTATCGTGTCTGCGGGGGAGAGAGAACAAGTTCACGGCAGGGCACGCAGGTTGTGTAATAGATCTACGGTCAGATGCGAGTTGCGAAAAGAGATGTGACATCGGTGCAACGTTTTTGAAATGACTGCACCCTTCACCGGGGGTCTCCAAACCCCTGCCCGCAGTATCTTTCCTGTCATCACCAACAACTTCATTTTTTGTACCCTGTTTCATGTCTGTCTGCGTAACTATGGGAAAAAGTTTTTGTGCTCTCATGCATGTATGCTTAGTAGTCTCCCGTGCTATAACTATTGCACACTGTCAACATCGCTTCTACCAGAGTGATTAGGCTTCTACCTTGAAACAATATGTCAAGGCTCCTAAGCATTTTTATATATGCCCAGTGAATTTTTCGGCTTGCAATTACTGTCGAGACCGGTTATAACGAAGTCAATGGAAATCGAAAATCACTTCGCTATATCCGATATTTCGTCATAACGAAGTCCAAAAGGGAATGAGAAATTATGATTGCTTTGCAGTAGCTGCTATTTCGGTATAACCAACTTCGTTATAACCGGTTTCGACACTACTGTATGATGTCATAACAAGCTTAGTATAGAATTTCAAAATTAACTGCATGTACTAATGCACCTTAATTCATTTTTCTTAAAATTTTACTCTAACTTCACTTTGTGTCTTTAAATGCCTATTTAGGTTAATGCATTGAGTTTTTCCCTAGATATACTATTTACTTGTTTATTTTCTGGCCCTCGAGACTGCGACAGATCCCCAATCCGGCCCCGTATCCACCATGTTTTTAGACACCTGCCCTCGACCAATAGGCAAAAGCCTCGGTAGTAGACCATTTGCCCTTCATAAAGGAACAGCGGCTAGCAGTAAGGAGGGTGTGGAAGGAGCTTCTGGCACAGTGTAAACTTGCATTCGACTACAAAGGAAGAGGCCTGCCACATTCCCGTACATTTCGACCGCCTCAGAATAACAGAGCAAGGAGGCAGACACGAGCAGTCCCAGTGGGCACAGATTGCGTGACACAGCAGCAAAACATCGCTCGCTAGGTTGGTATATTTTCTAATTTTATTCTAAAAAACAAAATAAAAAAATAAAAAAGAATAAGAAAAGAAATATTGGCACTAAACATTGGATAAGAAAAAAAAAACAAAGTTCACAAGCAACCTGAAATCGCAATTTCGGATACGCCAACTTGGAGCTAGGTGGACGAAAACAAACTTCACTGTCAAATGAACGCGAGATTGTGGCACGCTGCTTGAAAGAGAGTTCCGATTCCATAGAAACCATAGTGCGACTCTAGGTGGGGGTCACCACAAACTCTAACAAACCTCTCTCAGATTGTAAATGTACATGATTTCAATTCCCCTACGAGTTCCGTTACGTCTGGTGTCCCTCAAAGTTTTGTCTTGATGACCTCTAGTGTTCCTCATTTACATTAATGACTTGCCCCTCTGTTTCATTGAGCCGTATTTTATTTGCGTATAAACAAGTCCTTTATTGTCCCACTTCTTCAAAGCGACTTGAATGCTGTACCTGCTTGGTGTCGGCAATGGCACGTGACCCTTAACACTACCAAATGCAAACCAACGAGCTTCGCGTCGTAACACATCTCCTTCAACCTTGCTACCTTAGTAATATTCCTCTGATTTCTGCAACTTCCTATAAATGTTATATGTGTACACATTACCTCCAACCTATCCTGGAAAATTCAAATTATTCACATTTTTGCAAAGGCCAATTTTATGCTAGGCCACCTAAAACAAACCTTTTCATCAGTCCCTGTCCCCCTTAAACTTCTATTGGTCAGGTCTCTTGTTTGGTCAAAATTGCACAATGCAGCTGCAATCTGGGATCCTGGTCAAACCACACTTACAGCTAACCTGGAGCTACTTGAAAATCGCAGTGTTCATTTTGCATCCATAAAATCTAACCTCTCTTTCCCTCTTCTTTCATTGTGCCGTAGACACTCCTGCCTAAGCCTTTTCTCTATAATATATCACACTAATCGTATACTAAAAGAAAAAACACTCCTTCTCGAATCGTCTTACCTTTCTTCACACCTCAACCAGTTCAGAGTTAGCACTCCCCATTGCCGGACCTCGATTCAAAACGAATGATTCATACACAGAACATTGCCAGAGTGGAACCACCTGCCTGCATCTATAATATCTATACCATCCTTAGATTCGTTTAAAACTGCCACTAACAATTATTTTTGCATCCCGTAACTGTGTTCGATCCCCGTGTAAGATATGAAGGATTTAATGAATAACAGAGTACATTAGTGTGAATTATGTATGGTACAAGCTTCTTTGTGACTTAATACAGCAAGCACTTGCCAAGGTGTGCTGTGTATGATAACTTCTACGTTCTGATCAGGCACTAAGTGCGGGCTATCTAAGCAAAAACTTTTCTGACCCCAAATTTGCCCCTGCAGACTATATACCGAGTGCAAACATAGTCCGAAAAATACGGAAAAAAAACGCCCCAAAAAAGGCTTCATGGCTGCGGATCGAAATACACTCGAAAAGGGAGAAACGGGACGACCGGTACACACCCTTGATCTCCAGGCTGTCCACGGGGATCTGCTTCTCCTTCATGAGGAAGATCTCGAAGTTGAAGTACATGCCGCTGTACTTCCATTCGTTCTTCTCCTTCTTGGCCTTGGTGTAGCGGTCCACCTTGACGCACAGGTAGTCGCCCGACTTCTGCCAGTGCATCTTGCACTCGGCCACGTTGAACAGGTTCTTTGCCCGCAGCTCCACCCGGGAGGGCACCTCGATCAGGGTCACCCGGGCCGGCACGTTCTTGTCCTCTGCCACCCAGTAGGCCAGGATGTTCGACACCGGGGACCACGAGAAGTTCCTGGGACGGTAAACTGCCCCCGTCACCGGCGCCCCAGAAATGTTACCGTGGCACGTGTACGGTCGCGAGAACGCCCCAAAAGCGCTTCTGCGACCTACGTGCAGTCGCCGGAGTTGCCGGTGTCCCCGAAGCAATCCTGTCTTTGTATTGCCGTGCGTGTCGACAAGCGAGCGAGTGCGTGGCCAAACGGATACCGTGTTTGGCTTTCGTGCGAAGGCCCCGGGCTCGATTCCTGGGAACGGACGCCTGTTTTTGTTCGTTCAGTTTGCTGCTCTCGCGAGTTCAAGAACCTTGTCATCTGATCGAGTCACAAACGTTTTACGCCGAATGTTCCAGGAGTTCACCCAGATACAAAAGGAGCTCTGCGTGGCGGTCCGACGTCAGTCCCGCTTCAGCACTCAACCACTTGCGGTTACGGAGACTTCGACGCTTGCGACGCTACTACTATTTCTCTTTTGCTTTCTTGGCACAAGTTAGCCACATGAAGCTTTCAGTTTCTTTGGTTACTTGTAGGCTTATTTATCGGGTCATCCCTCCCATCCGTGACAATATGGTCACCAGAGCTGGCAGACACCAGTGTCATAAAAGGCATTCTTATGGTGTATATATGGCAGTGTTGGGTAAAGTACATCTAAAAGGTTTTTCAAGTACGAAGTAAATGAGACGTGATGTACTTTAAGTAAAGTATTAAAGGGAAGATGGGGCACTTCTGCATTTGACAAAAAACACGTCTATGGCGTTCATTTGGCCTTTAGAGTAACAGATATCACAATTATGTTCCAATGCGAAGAGTCGGAGAGCCATAAGAGCAATTTCAGAATAGGGCTGAAGCCCCACCTCACTAGCCTTGGGCAGCCAAAAGACCCGTCGATGACATCCCAAACAGTGACTGTCTTTCACGTTTTATCGCGTTTAACAATACTTGCGCAGCAAATAATTTGGGTATTCAGGTTCACGGGGTAAAAATACATCAGAATTCACTTCTAACTCATTTTTTTTAAGAACCTACCTAGGTTCCCTCTAAGTACACTGGGTGCAACATACTTGAAGTAAAGTACTATAAATACAATGTACTTTCAAAGTAAAGTACAAGTATTTTAACACAATCTTTCATGATGCTCTTTCATCCCCCTATACAGTGATTTTTTAACTGGCATGCATGGCCCAGGGGTAATCAGGGGTGCATGGCCCGTGTTCAAAAACAGCGGCGAATATTTGATAAAGTCAAGTGGCCACAGAGTAGTTATTTTCAGGAATGGAGCCAAATTCAGAAGTCCCTCTACTGAATTTGCCGCCCCTTGCACTGGGTTGTTGAACTCAAGGGGGCTAAATGTACTAGGAGAGAGCATGGTGTCAGCCTTGTAGCTTCCGCAAGCAATCCTGTCATAGAGGAGTGCCCTCTTTTTAATGCAAAAAAAAAAAACAGTGAGTGTCCAAGCGCCCTGGTGATAGTTATTCATAATCTGACACCTGAGATTGGGTGTGAAAAAATTAAGGAACTTTCAAATAGAAGGAAAAGACAAAAGAGAATGTCTCAAAACACGGTGACATTCTCTTCTGTTGTCTTCTACTACGACTTGAAAATTTGATTTTTCCGCACCACAGTCTCAGGTGCTACATTATGAATAATTTTGCTCTCCTAATATTTCAAAGCTCCTCGCTTGCGCTGACCAACCGAGAAGTAGTGAGAGTTCAAAAAGCTATGGGAACGCCGCTACCAGAACAAACGGAGCGATGCGTCGTCTGCTCACGTTTCTGACAAGAGTAGAATATCCCTCCCAGTTTTTCTTCGGATTTGACAAAGCATCATTTCGGGAAACAAATTCAACAAAACCAAATTTGGAAACTGTACTTTTAAGATGGGAATTGTACTTTCCGCGGAAAGTACCGGGAAAAGTACTTCAAGTAAAGTATGAGTACATATTCAGAGAATGTACTTCAGGTAAAGTAAAAGTTTCCTAAACCTACTTGAAATAGTGCTTTAAGTACAATGTACTTAAAGTACTTCCCAACACTGATATATGGTCATCGGTCACCAGTTACCAATGTCCCAACAACGTTTCTTTGGTCTAGTACGGCCACGAGAGTTGCCAGTGATCCAAAAGCACTGATATGATCTTTGTTGGGTCACCCGAGTTGTTAGTGTTCCGAAAGCATTACTACCGTAATATCTTAAATCATCAACCACCCATCTTTTGAAGGAAATATTGATAAAAAAAAATAAAAAACACATTTACCTCTACAAATACCCCAACGCGGACTCTGCGGTCCTTGAACATTGATCCTATCCGAATGATGCGGCCGTGGACTTTCCGGTTGGAGGACGACCATGACAAAGCAAAACGAAGGAGGGAAGGACACTTTACTTTTTCTGAGCATTTCCTCCCCAATTTCCGCAACCCCGAAGTAAAAGTACAGGCATGCGAAAGGAAAAAAAAAATGGAGATAACAGAATGAAACTTTGTTTTGCTTACAAAAAAGTTTGTTAAGACAAAAAAAACAGTTGGACAGATCACAGAACATAACCCATTCAGGGATCACGAGGTCAGCGAACGCCCCCTATCCTGGAATGTAACCGCGGAGTGTAAGGTCAAAGTCAGTCTCCGCCAAAGTAACGTCACCACAAACACTCTCCTCACGGAAGGTTGTGACTGCAGTTAGCAAGGTTGTGCAATATTTAAGAAAAAGTTAAAGGGTAAATAAAAATTTGCTGCAATGCCGCACACAGGCGTCCGTAGGGTGTCCCATTTCGAGCTCAGTGTTCACGGTGCCGAACATGCCATGCAGCAACACAGCAACACCGCCTCAACCTGCATTGATGGCACGCTGTGCACAGACTCACGCATTTATGTACCAAACAAAGAAGTTGCGCAAGAGCCTAGGTGCCTCACTTGGTCCGCTGCCAAGTACTTCCCAACATGATTGCCGGCTTTCCCGCTTCCCCAGCATCGCTCCTGGTTGCTTCTTTCATTCGCTCGCTCGTTGCACCTAATTAGATTTTTGTTGACTTTTTAAATTCTTTTTTCTAACAAGAGAACATAGCAATGTTAGAAACGTGCTTTCAGGAAACGCTCGCGCTCTATGCCGATTGGCGGTGTTCATCGCAAGGATGTAAGCAACGAACTTTGCAATACTAAATTTTCCTTCATGGGCATTTATTGCACAAAATAATGAAACTAAGTCGAGTTTTGAGTCTAATGTATAGCTTGTGCATGCCAAATATGTAAAAAAAAATAAAAAATTTATTTTTTGTGTTTACAAATTTAGACATGGGCCACCCCCCCCTTTTTTTTATGAATTTCAGGCGGCAGGGGGTTGGGCGACGACCCGGGATATTACGGTAGTCTATGTACGGTCACACGGGTAGCCGACGTCCCAAAAGCATTCCCATAGTCTACATACAACTGCCGGTGTTGCCAGAACCCAAAGCATTCCTAAGATTTCTATATGATTGCGAGGGTTGCCAGACACCCATATCATAAAGGGCGTCGTCAATAAGGGCATTCCCAAGATCTACCAACAATCGCCACAGAGTCCATGTCATAAAGAGCGACGTCAAGATGAAAGCCCTGCTCGTTCCTAGGTTAGAGTTAAAACATATTTTTCCTATGAACTAATATGCAAGCTCTACTTGAGCCAAGCCTAACCTTGCGCAAAGGATCACTACATTAACTCAACGGCTCATAAAAAAACCAACATTTCACCTGATTCAAGAAGAGCTAAACTACAGATGTTCACATTATTTTAACACTTTGTTAGGAAGAACGTCTCGCACCTGATGCCGGGTATCTTGAGGGACTTCTTGTCCAGCAGGCCGAAGGAGGGCGTTTCGTAGATGCTCAGCATGTCCTGAGTGAGGCGGGCGAAGAAGCGGTCGTCGCTGCTCCACTTGAACATGGGCCACGTGTGCATTTCTGGGTCTGCAGTGAAGCTGCGTCTCTTCATGCCCGTGCGGATGTCCCAGATGATCACCACCTGGGCCTCCTCCGGACCGCCGGGTCCTCCGCCCCCACCTCGCGGCGGCTGGTGGAACGTGTCCGGCGACGGTGGACTCAACGTCACCAGGTAGCTGTTGCCATCGTCGGGCGGCACGGAAAGGCAACGTCGAAAGGTTACACTCTCGACCCGATCTCTTCGAGGGACCGAGAAACAAAAGCTGGAGACTGGGAACTGAATGGGCCTTCCCTCCCACGTGCGGTTCTCTGAGCACGACGACAACGCGGCATCATGTTCCGGTACGGCCACAGACCGTTCAGCCGAGCTCTCGCTGGGCAACACCATTCTGTTCTAACTGCAGCGCCGTCTACACGCATGCGGGCATTTCGGCGGATTTGGTGGGTTGCGCACGAAACGCCGAAAGGTTTATCAAAAACAAAACACTCCCTCATCTCTCTCTCTTACACACAAACACGCACAAACAAAAAGAAATTGTAGAGTAAAAGTAATTGGTGCAATATTTAGACCAGAGACACATGTTGAGTCGAAAGTTCAGGTCGGCGTCGGTTCCCTGCACTATTGCTGGATCGAAAATATCAAGGTCAACGACACGGTGATTTCGAAACTGGAGTCGTCTGCCTCAGAATCACTGAATGTTCCCAAAATACCGAAACTCCCAGGCTCGCTGGAGCAGAGATGGCGGCTAAATCTTTCTATTTTTTTCTTCCAGCGGAAGCTGCAACTGCGATACTCTGGAAACACTTAGCAACTCTGGTCTGCCTCATGTTGGTAGAAGCGTGAAAGAAGGACACGCTTACCGCACACCTCTCCTCCCTGTACAGAAAATAGGTGCGAGAGGCGTCCCTCGTCAGCTACCCCGGCGTACGACCACAATAGAATGACGCAAAGAGGAAGGAAGAGAGAGAGAAGCGGTACCCACTTTTCGCAGGGCGAGAAGTCTATGAACTTGACCCCGAAGTGGGTGAAGCGCATGATCTGGTTGTACTGTGGGCCGCCCCAGAGGGCAATGCCCTGCTGGTGGAAGGTGGCCAGGTAGGTGCCCAGGGGGGACCACATCACCAGGTTGTCCGTCCACCGCTGAAACAGGGACACGAATTAGAGCGAGGAAAGGGAAAGAATGAAAAATCATGAGCCATTCCACTCTGTGAAGATGAATGACCGGCACGCAACACGGACTTGCCCTGAGGAGCCGGAGGAAACTAGACACGCACGAGGGGACCGCCACCCCGGGAGAGCGGAAGGAAAGGAAACTAGGCATGCAAGCGCTTGGAACGACGACAAAGAGAGGGTGGTGCGATTGTATACATGGCCGACACGGGTCGCACGGCAGCAAATCTTTGAGAAACCTTTATTATCTAACTGAGAGTCTACTGATTTTGAAAATGGTGCCTATTGATAACTAATTTACTGAATAGACCTATTGCTAAATTACCCAAGCATCAAGGAGAATGCAGGGAATGGTGTTCCATGCGCTGCACGTGCCGGCGTCTGCAGCAGTAACTGTTCTAAGGCATAAAGCGTAAAACAAATCGCATTCTTGCACAAACATTTTTATCAACGCTTTGTTTTGGTTATATACTTTGAATCTTTCATATGGGGAAGGCGTGCGTGTGCGGCGCAGGTCTGCAGCAGTAACTGTCCTAAAGCAAAAGCCTAAAAGAAATGGCATCTTGCATGTGCGTTCATCAACGCTTTATTTTGGTTTACTTCAAATCTTTTATACGAGAAAGGTGTGCGTGTGCGGCAGTGCAAGCGCAGTTTTCAATCACTGCACACGAAAAATCCATGGAACCCTAGCCATAAACAGCTTTGCTGTAAAAATATTAATCCTCCGTCGGCACTGCGACTGCAATGGGAATAGTTTAAGATGCCGTCAGGTCAACGTATCATGGGAGTTCAATGAGATCTTGACACTACAACTCCTTGCTTAACCTGCAGAGTGCCAGAATCCTGTCAGTGATAATTGCAACGCATCTGATTGCGTTCTTAATGCTTCACATTGAGGCTTTAACATGAGCGTTTTGACGTAATTAGTCTTTTTCTGCCACTTCGACTTCCTCTTTCTGCAAATCTCACTAAAGTAGTCAGCTGATGCATGTCTGTGCATTTAATTTTTGGCGACTTAATTAAAAACACTATGCGGCGGCGTACACCATCGATCCTTTTCATTTTAGTGCATATTTCATAACCTACACACAAACTAGCAAGACAATTTGCCAGCCCTCTGGCAAAAAAAAACACAAAAAAAAAACACATACCTCTCTGTCTTTGACGACAGTGGGCTCCGGATTGCTGTTGAGGTACACGGCCACCTTCTCCCCACCACAGTACATGACGCAGAACTGGTCGAAGCAGTCCGGGTCTTGCAGCCACTGACGCAGGTTGCCCTGAAACGGAACGAGCGAAGCAATGCAGCGCGTCACGCTCTAGTGCGGGCACGATCACTGAATGCATCTACAAATGCGTCTGCGTAGCAGTCTAGACCTCCCATGCAAGGAAACGCATGCTCAGACCACCACATGGGCCCTAGTGAATTTGCACCACTGTGCCTCAGACGAAATGTCTTCCTAGACAGCCGGCGAAGTTGTGCGCACCCGTCGGTTGTTTCTACGTTCTGTGGGCTCTCCATGCACGACTCATTTCTATGCACCGCATGCAGCTCCGTGCCACAAGAAACTATGTGTGCAGCACTGAACAAGCAATGTCGACACACATTTTTCACTGTCGTACTTAAACGCGAGTGCAGCACAGTGCTGCGACGTTAGAAACAAATGTGGAAGGACCTACTCAAAAGACGACGCAGGGAGGAAGAAAGAAAAAGTAAACGGTGGTTTCAGAGATTGGCACCGGCTACTCTATAAAAAGGCGGCACCATAGATGACTAATGCAACCAGTAACAAAACCCACTGCTGCAACAAACGAGACGAGTTATCGTACGTACGTGGTCGACATAGGGCTGAGGCTGAGGTTCCTTCCATTCCTCCGGAATATTTTCATACCTAGAAAGAAAAGTGAAGAGGAGAAAATGAAGACTTCACTCGATTGCAGAGTGCAACGGGGCACAAAGCGCCAGAAAAATCTGGCTACAGTTGGCGTCCCTAATGCAATCGCAAAAGATGGCGTTGCCGGCAGTACTCCTATTGAGCGCAGCCCATCGTGTAACTCCAGCCAATGACGTCCAGCCTTGATTCCTGCGGACAACGACCTCCCCGCACTCACTTCTGGAAGTCAGTGAAGAGGTTCACGGCGAACGAGTGCTGCTTGTCGAGCTTGTGGCCGTTGGTCACTTTAACCGCGTCCAGTGCACTCTGGGGGTTCTTGTACTCCAGGAACATGTACCTGTCACCAAAAAAACAGGCATCGTCAAGAAAGGAAATAGCAGGTTTGAATTAAAATTGAATCAAAAACTCTCAGCCCATTGCAACTTTCCCTCGCACTAAGGAGACCGTAAAAGGTGCCACACTGTTGCATTTGAATCACTATTTGTAAGAGTCTAACTGGAACCCCTTTAGTGCTTCACACTGCCCTTGCATCAAGATGTCCCAAAGTGGCAAGAAAACATGTTGTGGGAGGTGGCATGTCATGCTACCAGTTGTCGTGATTCTGGCATTTAATTACAAAAGCACGTACAAAGGAGACAAGTGGACGCAAGGACTCCCGTCATTGTTGTGTCCCAATCCAAGGATGCCGCCGTTTCCCCGAACCGACTGGTGGCAGAGCTGGTCATGGCAAAGCGGAAGTCTACCACAAGCACCTCTGTCCCCGTCGGGGTGTCGCGGCAAAACATGGTACAACACTATTGCGACATTACTGGCCAGATATCGAGAGGCCCAATATGAGATGGGGTAAACGCGCTAGTCGAAGGTTCCTTCTAGGCACAAGGGGGGTAACCGAGAGAAGTGTGCTGCAAGTGGAACCACTTGCAAGACTTCTTTTAAATTCACAAGAAATGCAATGCTGGAGTAAATTCTGCCCTGTACATGTTATGGGTACATTCCTAGCAGCCCCAAGTGGAAAAGCCACCAGGGTTTGATCAGCTTTACTACTTGAGCAGCTAGTTGTCCTTGCAGACACCTGTACGTCCACTTTTTCTGGTGTTGACATTTCTTTTACAAAGATGGAGACATCTCTGCAGCCAATGCCAGCCACCTCAAGGCGATTTTTGCCGTCAAGGACTTTGGAAAAAATTGCAGTTGCTCTAGGAAATGGCTTACAACAAAGGTTATGGAACTTCAGCTGTGTGACGGACCCCTACAATAATTTCAAAAACCGGCCAGACACAGCCAGGACACATCATTAAACCATGATACAAACTGCCGTCTGCCAGGGGTGGAGTGAGCAGACGACGGACGAAGCGGCTAGCAGACAACGAGCGGAGCGGCTAGCAGACAACAGGCGGGGTGGTTAGCAGACGACTCACCCTTTCGTCTTCCCCGTCTCATCCACGGGAATAAACTCTGTGTTGATCTCCCCAAACTGGGAGTAGATCTTCATCATAACATTCTTGAGCTTTTCTAGCCGTTCACTCCCGACCTGGGGGATGTTGTCGACCACAATGACGCTCTCGACCCCGTCCGCCTCGGCAGGCCTGTGCTGGAGGATGTCTCCCAAGAGCTCTGGAAATGGCGGCGGGAGAAAGGAAGAAAAGCAAACTTTACTTGTGGGAAAACGCAAAGCCCCTAATCTCTAGCAGGGAGGAACCAGTGATCATACCAAAAGTTTCTAAATCTTTTTTTTTTTTTCACCAGCTTTTTGCTTTGGTCACCAGGCGCTGAAATTTTTGATGCAGTGGCTATTAACGAGGTGGCGCAAGCCGCCATCCAATTCAAAGGCTTCAGTCACCCATACATTTTTCCAGTTATGAGGTAAACAAATGGCTGTGCCACCTTGGCAGCTGTGCACTTTGGCCACTAGCTATGGTTTCAGCCTTGTAAAAAAATTCACGCCAGGTGGTTAAAATGCGAAACTGAAAAAGAGGTAGGAAAAAAGTAAACTGCAACATTAAGTGCACATAAGTGTGCATTTCCACATGCACCTTTTTAGTTCATGAGCTCAAGAGTGGGAGAGTTGTAAGATGGGCATTTTCACCAAGGATGCAATAAGAATAGTCCTAGCATCACTTAAAGCAAGGCCTTTTCAATTTTACTCAACTTTGACTTTCCAGGCAGTGATGAAAATTGTTTTAATGCAGTACAGAATGTATGTAGCCCTTAGCCACACAACGTCTTGTGCCTCCATAATAACCAGAATTTGAAACAAAGAACATTAAAAATTGCAGAATTATTTTTGATGCAAAATTAAACCCTCATTTCTACCACAGGGATAGGGAAAAATGAAAGCTTGTAGGGATTGCTAGTTTGTTAAGCCCTTGACAACAGATATGCTGAAATGACTTCAGCAAAGGAGCGGTTAAGTCACGAGAGACAAGAAGGAAACAATCAATGGAAGAAAAGATACATCCAATGTCTCCTTGTCTCTTCTTTTCGCCAGTCCGGTTTCGAATTTATTTGAATGGTTAACTTGCACCAGCCTGCTTGCATCATAACCATTATACCATCTGTCACAACCATCTCAATTTCGGAGGCAAGAAAATTGCATTGCGATACCAAAAAAAGGAAACTTTCGTTTTAAATGTAGGAGCTATGTTTGAGACGAAGCAGTGGTTTGAGCCCTTATCAACTCAAACTAGAAAATCATTAAAAGAAAAATTCTACATAAAAAAAAAAAGAAAAACAGGATACGAAATGAGCAGTTTCTTTTTTTTTTTTGTTTCTCTAAATATTATTTCCCAGCGGGGAAACCCGCCTACAATTAAGCTAGAAGTAGTATGGGTAGACAGACTTATAAGCGCCGCACGCATACCACACCGGCAGTTACATTTTCCTTGTACGACAGCTGTCAAAAAACGCGTAAACAAGAGACGTTTAATTTGACCACACTAATTAAACCACCGCCACTCCACGTCACGTTCGCCGCACTTTTGAGTTTTGTTCACAAGCCGCTGTTAGGAATATCAGCAGGGCACGTCGTGCGACATTTATCGTTGTTTTCCCCACAGCGCATCCGCTTACAATATGTTCGGCTTCTCAGCGGGAATTCGTTACCGACAAGTGACCCCAGCCGACTCGCGTTGGTCTGCTAACAATGCTCGAAACCTTTTAAACTCGTTCTGACGATCAGTTTTTTTAAACTGTAGTAACTGGAGCCGATTAACACGGTAAATAAAACCACAACCCTAAGCCTAGCTCGGTAATACTGGGCATACATGGGTTGTTCCCGTCGACAAGTTGCAAAACCTGTTATTGTCGCCGCTCAAGTGGCCCCCGATCACTTTTAAAACAAAACAGGTCACACACCCCGTTCGCGGAACGAGTGCTCCCGAGTGAAGCAGTAAACATTACTCGGTTGTAATGAAGTTATTTGTGACTAACCAAGCTAGAGCCCGCCAGTTGTGTACGGCCGGTGACGGATACTTGAAACGGGACTTCGCGTCATGCGGCAGCCAAGCGGCCACTGAAAATACGTTGGACAGCTAAATTTGGTTCGTATATTTCTTTTTAAGGGGTTAATTCGAAGATAAAGACGAGAAAATCGCGCCGATTTAGCGCAAAGCATCGCTGGGTAAAGCGGCAAAGCGGGACACAACACGTGCAAAGGGTATCTGCGCACCTTCCTCTGTGATGTCGTCGACGAAGTCCTCGGGATCACTGAAACTGGGCAGTTCATTTTCGTCATCGCCGTTCTGGAGCGGATCCTTCTGAGAAGGCTCGTCCGCGAAATCCTGTTCACTTCGAGCCATGTCTCCTTTCTCAACCATTATTTTACACCAGCGTGGCCATCAGGAAAGCCGAAAAGAAACCTGCCCACCACGGCGCATGCGCGACCTCGAAGAGCTAGTTGCAGCGCTGGCCGCAAGGGGCGCCAAGGTCGCCGTCATTGGTGCGTTGCCAGATTGTGATATGCTCAGACCGCTAAAACCGGCAAAATTTTCCCTTCCCTTCCCTATTTTCCATGATTGGTCACATTTTTACATGTCACAAGATTCAACTTATCCGGATTACGGCTCTGTATGGCCGCGCCCGAGTGCACCCGAAGCGAGCAAGATGGCAGCCTCATAGAGTAAAAGCTCTCGATGCAAAACCCAGGGATCAGAGTTCAATCCCTGCCCCTGCCCGTTTCAATCTGGATGAGCATCGTACCGACATGTGCTTGTGTATCACTACTAGATGTGTCGCGAACCGGCCGCGGTTCGAGTTCGACCAGGTTCGACTTTTTCGAACTTTTAGTGGAAAGTTCGACGAACCTTGTATCGAGGTTCGACTCGTGTGCGCATGCGCGTCAGGCTGGCTCGTTGGCTTCGGATTGGATGGTAATGGCTAAGAGATGAATTAAGTGCAGCGCTGATTGACTATTTCAGTTAATACAGTACTAAAAATTAAGTTATTAACTTCTTCAGTGATTAGATTTAGTTTCTTTTAATTGCAGCTGTTCACAAAATAAAATAACCCTTTGCATAAAAAAAAAATTCTCCAAACCTAGACATGCTTGTATCAAAGGCTGGCCACACTGTCCACAAAGTCGAACCGATCGAATCTGGCGAAAAGTTTGAAGGTTCGTCGAACCGGTTCGACCCAGTCGAACCCCGAAAGTTCGATCAAAAAATCTGGTTCGACAAAAGTTTGCGACACCCCTAATCACTACGGCGTGATGCACGCCAAAGACCCCAGGCTAGCGGCTGTACAGTTCATCTACAGCCGAGACAAGTCGCCTGTTGAGGCAGACTGTTCAGGCTGTATGTGGAGCGCAAATTGTCTGCTTCTTATGCAGGGGTTGTGGTGACGTCAGAGTGCCGAGCTCTGATTGAAGGATAGTGGGTAGACCTCAAGGCAAGCTGCCTTCAGGTCTACCCATTATCCTTCAATCAGCCAATCAAGGCTCGGCGTTCTGACGTCTTCACAACCCTGCAAAGGACGAATACGAACTTGCACTATGCATAAACATACACCAAAATGGAGGCCTCATTCCCTTCTTCGAACACCGAGAACTCTCTAAAGTTAGCTTCACTTGCAAGATGAAGTATGTTTTTAGGAGTCATCTTTAACCAAATAATAATTTCATTCGTGACATTATTAAAAGCAGCGCAAAAGGATGGGACAAAAGTAGAAGCACACAGGACAGACGCTGTCTTTCCCCGTCCTTTTGCACTGTTTTAATAATGTCATTCAACAACCAACTAACCCAGCAATACATCCTTTTTCTTTTTATTCGTGAGTTCACTGGGCCTGACCTAGTTAGAAAGCGGGCTAGTTTCCAGCAGGGCTTTAGATCTCGCCCGACATCTGTAGAAGCCCACACTGTAAATCCCCTGATGCAGATATTAACAAACAGCTATGCACAACATTATGTTAAGGCACTATCTATTATAAAAGTCAATGCAGCTGGAAAAGGCTTCATCCTAGCCAATGCCAAAAGGCCAAATTCAAGCATGGACCCTCCACCTTGTCCCTCAAAATCTGTATGAAAGTATCTTTTCTTTTTCTGTTATGGAAACCCACTCTTGAGATTCAGCAGGACCGGCACCTGTGAATGTCACAGCCAAGAAAATGTATCAACTGAGAATATATCAATCAGCAAAGTTTTTTAACTTTTGATGAAAAAAAATGTACAAGAGGTTTCTTGTGCAAGATAGAAGGGTCCATATCACAAGAGCGAATGACATTTTAGCGAACAGCGACATTTGAGCGAATGGAAGTTTTAGCGAACGACGGGGGCGCGCGTTAACCCATCCGTCGCGCTGCGCTTTCAGTCTGCGGCAGCTCATTACAGAAATATGAACCCACTTGGCCCACCCGAAAACGCCGCGTCCGACTATTCGCTAAAGTGTCGTTCGGTGAAACGTGGGCATTCGCTAAAACGTCATTTGATTAAGTGAGTGCCTCCCAAGATAGACATAAACAATCCTGTAGATAAAAAAAATTTTTTTGTTACAAGAATTTTTGAGAAAGTTAGTTCATTCGGGCTAATTAGAGGCAAACTTGGAAGTGTCCAATAAGACCAACCTTTTCACGCCAGCTAAACTGAATGTTTACGAGACCACAGAGCAGGCAATGAAGAATCGATTTGCACAAATTCGCACATGTGTCTCACCTCCGATTTGAAAGGGTGCATCAATTCTTCTATCACCAATGCTAAAAAAAACTATAAAAGCTTGTCTAACTTTTTTTTTTCTTTTTTGTTGTAAGCTTTTAGTGGCAATTTTATTTTCGAAATACAAAATTTGTGTATTTTATTTATATCTTTTTTTCCATCTTACATTTCCCTTTCCTCCAACAGTTTTTGATACCTCAACTTTTAAGATTTGTTGATGCCTTTGGGGGGGCAGTTCTGTTTCATTAATGCTTGTTGCTAGTTAAAAGATGTGTTCTGTGCTCGTCCTATTTGTTTATTCTTTCGTGTGTAAATGGGATTTTTTAACTGCCTCTAGATGTTTCTGGCTTCCTGGAAAGGGTCTACCAGAAAAATTCCTCGAGAAACACCTACAAGATTCAACAGTTGGAAAACTACCTCCAGGATGAAATAAACAACATGGTAAATTGTTTTAATGGAACGGTGGGAATTTTCACAGGTTTCCGTCGCTTGCGTTGGCACAAAACAGCCTCCTCCGTCGATCACGGTTCTGCAGGTCAACCTCAAACGTAGTCGAGCGTTCCAAACTTCTTCAGGTAAGCGTCCTCTTTTGCGGGTTGCAGCACCTGTAAGAAAAATTGAAATAAAAACTAGAACAATTTATTTATGACATCCCTAACTGCAACGAAAATGACTTGAGTCGTTTCCAAGTTTTTTTTACACCACTAAATCTGTGTTTTTCTCACTGCAAAAATGAACTAAGCATTGCTGGATACACATTCTCTGCCCAAATCTAGTGCTGGCGGTCTGAACCAGATCCAGAGTTAATCGTGTTCAAAATTTATAAATGATTTTCTGAAATTTTTAAGAGAAAAACGGGGTCAATTTTTGCCCATTTTCAGCAGCTGGCGCCATAGAGCTCCATCTATTCGAGAGCTCTGTCGGCCGCCATTTTCAAATCGAAAATTCCGGAAAATCCCATGTCTTTTGAATAAGATAATGGTTAGTTCTGAAACTTCGGCACCCAGTTTATATTATCTGGGTGGAAAATGCGCGTTCGACGATGCATAGTATATTTTGCAACGCAAAAAACATCGGAAATAATTTTTGTGGGACACCCCACATTTGTTACCACAGGACAATGTAATCACGCAACCAATTTTTTTCAATATTTTTACAACTCCAAACAATTACCGTATTTACTCGATTCTAAGCCAACATCGATTCTAGGCCGACCCCGCAAAAACGGCAGGGCCAAAAAATAAAAAAAAAAATTCTAGATTCTAGGCCGACCAAAAAGTATAAGAAAAACACCATAAATTAAACACAGAACGGAATTTATCTGCAATGTACAGCACTATTTCAGTCACGAATCCGACGGTATGCTCACGGTTAGTGTCCGCATTTTTCCTGATCATTCGTCGTCCTCACTGGTATCTTTGTCACTGTCCACTTCCCACAATGCGTGGTCATCCGTACCGTCCAGGGCATTCGAGATGCAACACTTTCGGAACGACTTTACTACCAGTTCCGCCGGGATGTCGTCCCATGCGGCCGCGATCCAGCTCGTGGTGCCTTCCCTTCCGCGGTCCTGAGAACGCCATTCTTGTTGCCGCACATGCAAAGAGCTGACCAAGCTGTTTTCTCCAGCGACGCCCATTTTTTTCGTCCACGCCGAAGTCACGCTGGGCTTGCAGGTTGGACGAGTGTTCAGCAACCGAGACAACTTTCCTCTTAAAAGCCGCAAAGTAGTGGCATCGACTGGTCGATGCCATAGCGTCGAGTAGAGACGAACGTTCCGTGCCTTCCGTGGTACACAGCGTATCTTCCCGAAGCGATGTAGACAAGATGGCGTCCCGCGGTCATGGCGGAGCCGGATCCTCGTATCTAGGCCGACCCCCGAGTTTCGGATTTAATTGTTTTGGAAAAACTATCGGCCGAGATTCGAGTAAATACGGTAAGTCATTTATGGAACCCCAGTCAACCACCAAAGCAGTGTGGTGACGATGAGCTATATCCCGTGATATTATCGTACGGTTGCATTTTCCTGGTGCTTGAGACGCGTCTTTCGACCGACATGATCAGAGTCCTTTACTGCCCGTGCATCACGGTCCCGAATTGGCAGTAAATTCCCTCGCAGCAGCCGGCCAGTGATGCCGTCGGACGTCGCAATCCGGGCAGTCGCTCGTATGCGGAAAACAGGTCGTCTGCTTGTTGCGTAGGAGTTGCAGTCAGAGTTGTACATAGAGAGAGTTTGGTCGATGGGAGGAGCGAGCAGAGCATGCACGAGACGCAGTAGAAGGCTTGACGTGCTCTCCAAAAATAATCACCTAGGGGTGGTAGTGAAAAACACTTTTAGCGAGTGTGTAAGAGTTAAATGGAGTAAGTCTCTGCGGTTGAAAATACAGTGCGCGCGATGCTTCGATTATGATCGTGCAAAAAATGTGAGAATTGACAGTGCCGCCTGAATCCTGTTTTGCTCGGTCGGAGTCTGACCGCTCGAATGGCATTCTCGTGGCCCTCGACACCTGGCGTACCGATCACGTCAATCTATTCTCCTAAATTTTGATTTTGCACGACTGTGATCGAAAAATCCCGTGCACCGCGTTTTCAGTCACAGAGAGTTACTCCGACGCGCTTGTTAATTTTGTTTCTCGCGACCATTGCCAGGGTGTTATTCATGGCTTCCGACCCGCCACATTCGAATCTGTGAAGATGCCCTGAAACGTGACCAGCCCGCTCTCGGCCAATGGCGCCTCCTCATCTGCCTACTATACTTCCCAAAGAATGGCCACTCTCTCTCTATGTACGGCTTTGGTTGCTGTGACGTCAGACGATGCCGAGCTCCGATTGGCTCCGATTGAAGGGATAATGGGTGGACTTCAATGCTAGAAGGCCTCGAGGTATAGCCACTTTTTTTTTTCAATCATTCATTAAGAACTTGGTGTTCTGACATTGTTGCAACCCTTGTCCAAGACACCAACGAACTTGCGCTCAACGTGAGTTTCGGCGAAAAAGACGAGCAAGCGTAGGTATTGCTGTCGTCGTCGCAGCGTCCCGACTTCCGGCCGCTGAAGCTTCCTTGAACCGTAAAGCACAAGAGCAACTCGCAGCCGAACGGACATCTGCCCCGCCTACCTTCGACGACGTCGAGTGGAAATTGAGGAACCCCAAAACGACGACGCGCCAAGCACACCGGAGACGCCGTACCGGGACGTCGAGCGCAAGTTCTCGTTCGCACCTCGGCACGTCGTGTCTAGAGCCGCAATCACACCGCTCATACGTCGTGCAGAAGACGCAGTGTTTGCAGCAGACATGATGACAAAATTATCTGCACATATGCCTCAAGCATCTGTGCTCCCAACCCAATATGTGTGCATCGAATGTGCCCGCAGCAAGTTTTGGTATGACCAATGGAAACGTATGTTTGAGGAAGAAACACGCCCCAAGGGGTGTCTGCAGACCGTTTTCCGTAGGGCGCATTGGCAGTGCGACTGTGGCACCTTTAGACCCGAGTCTATGCGTGTGTGCCGGGCCATGCAGGTGCGAGAACTCACCGCATTGGAGACGTACGCGTTGCAAGGATAGCACCAGACCGAGAGGTCGCTGTAGCTGAGCACCATGTTGTGGTCGCTCTCTTCGTGGTGTTGCACCATGTGGCCGTTCACGTAGCGGCTGCAGTACGCCTGCACGTCCGAGAGAACCTTGTCGGCGTCGTCTTCTGGTTACCGCGTGCGCATCTCTTCTCGTATCGTGCCGTCTCGTTTCTAGGGTTGTGCGAATATTTGAAATTTCGAATAGTAGTTTCGAATAATACGCTATTCGATATTCGCTTCGAGAAGAACTGCACTATTCTTATTTTTCGAAGCGTTGATCGCGGCACGTTAGCCCCCTTGAGCATGCTTCTGACCGAGCTGTGGTGCACTGCGAAGAAGGAATACCTGCGGAAGCGAGCTCTGCGGGTGTTGCTTCTCTGCATTACACCGGTGCTCAGAAAGAAGCACACTCAGCGGGGTAACATGCCACAATAAACACTTGGAAAAGTATGAATATCGCAACTGCGTGCTTGGAAGAAAGGCATACTTTCAAAGCGGGATGGTGCATGGGTGCCGGCTGTATTTGAAAATAAATGAAAACTTTGTGTAAATGTGTATATCTCCATTGTAGTAAAAGTTTGAAAATTAAAGTGAGTGTTATGCAAGAGTTTTTGTTAGGCAGAGATGCCCTTACAACCTGCGTTCATCATGCGCGGGTCTTTCTTTCTAGAGCGCAGCTCTTAGGCGCCCAATTCTGGCTTGAGCGGCGTCAGCGTAATCGCGCGATGCATTATGGGACGCGAGACGTCACTGATGACATCATCAGTGACATCATTGTCATCCTCACTGATGACATCATCACTGACGTCACTGTCATCGTCACTGATGACATCACTGACGTCACTGATGACGTCATCGGCATCATCACTGATGACATCATTGGCATCCGCATCATCATCATCACTGATGACGTTATCGGCATCCGCATTGTCATTGTCACTGATGAGGTCATCGGCATCATCACTGATGACGTCATCAGTGACGTCACTGATGACGTCATCGGCATCCGCATTGTCACAGATGACGTCATCTGCATTGTCACAGATGACGTCATCGGCATCTGCATCATCATTGTCGTCACTGATGACGTCATCGGCATTCGCATCGTAATCATCACTGATGATGTTACTGACGACGTCACTAGTGATAATGACGCCATCAGTGACGTCATTGATGACGTCACTGATGACGTCACTGATGACGTCATCATCACTAGTGATGTGACCTCTAGGGGTCACGTGACCTGATGACACGACCCCCGTGAGGTCACGTGACCCTTGTGAGGCGACGCCGACGCCGCTAGGAGGGAGGAGCAGCAGACAGGATGAGGACGTGAGGAGGAGGGGTATACCTTCTCCTCAGTACCCTTCCCTCCTCCTCCTCCTCAAGAGCTGCACTCTAATTCGGCATTACAGGGAGTTGTAAACGGCTTTCCTTTTTTAACTCGACATAAAAGAAAGAATATTTTATATAGCAAGATTTGTAAATTCACTAAATTGGGTATATTCGGCCATCCCTATAGGATTCAATTTATGTCACATCCATCGCTTACTTGCCCTCCCAAGATACCAGACCTTCTGAGGTTACAGTTCATAAGTACATATATATTAAACTTAGCTTATAAATGAGCAAGTGGAACAACCTTCACGAGTTTAGCTGGGTTTTCGTCTAAGCATGATGTAAAGGTAGTGAAAAGTGTGGGAAAGCTATTCGATATTTGAATCGAAAATATTCAGCCAAAACCACTATTCACTTTGAATTCGCTTCAAACTCAAAATCCACTATTCGCACAAAACTACTCGTCTTGAACAACTAACATTTTCCCCCGTCCTTCATCGTGGGTGAGCTTAAACTTTCACTGAAGGCATATCTTAGTGAAGGATATTACCTCGCAAAACTCCCCAAAGATAGCTCTGTTTCCTTGGGAAATGAGAACCACACACTTGACATTTCCACTCGCGGATGCTGACGCAGATGACGGTTGTCTCGAGAGCCGTGCACGTGGTGCCATCTCCCGACGGATGCAGCAAGCCCTTGGCAACTGCTGTCTGCTCTCGACAGTGCCTGCTGCACCCGTCGGGGGATGCCAACACGTGCACAACTACCGGAGCAACTCTGCCGTCTGCGTTGATGCCCGCCACTAAAACTACCAAGGGTGGTGTTATAACTTCTCGCGGGAATGGAGCTACGCCTAGACACCTAAACAATATTTTAAGAGAAACAAGCCAAATGTTCTTACGTTACTATAAACTCAAAAGCAGCGCTGCTCCGCAGAGGTATGGCGGCAAGCTGCATGCATGCGAGCCCTGTCGAATCGGACTTCACCTCTCTCCTGGCCTATTCAACTCCTGTGGGGAGCGAAGAAGGGCAACTGAAACGGCCAGGTTGTAACGCGTTGGTGACTCCTAATGGCAGATCTAGTAACCCCGCCAGCCCACAGGCTGCTTTGCTTCTGCTGGGCCAGTTGACGTCATGTCTCCCACGATGCATCGCGCTCTCCGATGGCCGATTTCTGACTGCTCTCTGGTATCGGTTCTTTGGAACGAAAAATATAGCCATTCGTTCAAAATAAAAGGATACAGTTGTCATTAACAGATAGAGGTGATCACATTTAACTTATTTCTGAACATGAGAGGTATATTCGAAGTTTCGATTCAGTATCCCTTTAAAGTTTCACAAGGTAACGTCCATCACCAAGGTATGCGAAGTGCAAGTTCGTATGCTTCTTTTGAAGGGGTTGTGGTGATGTCAGAATGCCGAACTTTGGTTGGCTCTGAATGAAGAATCGAAGGTACACCTCAATGCAGATTGCTTTGAGGGCTACCCACTATCCTTCAATCGGCACCAATCAGAGCAGTGTCTTTCTGACATCACCGCAACTCTTTTGCAAGGAGCAGACGACTTGATCTCTGCACACACCGTTGGTGGAAGTTTGAGCTCAACACCCAGGACGGCAAGTTTTCCCGCTTGTTTCACTGCAGACTTTGCACTTTTCAACACCCTGTATGGCGGACGTCGAGAGAAGCATCTTTCCATCAAACCCCATTTTGAAACCAGGTGCGACCGAGTCGAGAGAAAAAAAAAATAGTCCCCAACCTCAAAGCAGTGCAGGCAGGCCCAGACCTCCTGCCTGACCCCACATACGAGGCAGGGGTCGTGGGGGTCGCAGAGCCCCGAGGGGGGCAGTGGGGGCAGGTCGTTCAGGTGAGGGCACCAGGGCTCCGGCTGGACGCAGTACGGGGCGTCCTGCACCAAAAACGTGGGAATTTTCGCAAATCGAAAGCGATCCAGGTAAGCTCCTGTAGCTAACTGACATTGTCGCAGCCAAAAACGGATAGTCGAGGGTAAAGCTGGAAATAAAGGTTTTGAGTCGGCTAACTTGTGCCAGAAACAAAAGAAAGAATGTGCGTCGAGAAAGCAGCAGCGAGCGTCGAGGTGTCGACGCGACACCTGGTTAGCGTGTGGGTGTGAGAGTGAGTAGGCAAGCCCGCACTGGACTCCCTATCTATTACCCTCGGTGTCTCTACATTTGGTCTAGAAATGTTTGAGCGTCGCACACTGCGGAGACCGACTTAGCAAGGTCACTCTGGTCTCCCCATCTATTACACTTGGAGTAAGAGTAAACACGAATCTTCTGCAAGTACGAAGAAGCGTTTCCTCTCGACCATGGGTGCGGCAACATTAGAGTCGGTCTGTCATGTCTTTCTGGAAACCTCAAGTAAACGGAAGAGACCCAAATGCTTCGACCTATTCGTCGTAAGAACTCGCGATACGGCTCGCGCTTTGCAGCTCTTGCCAAAAATCGCCGCTTGCGCTCCTGCAATGACCTCACAACTTTTGTTACGAGGCCATTACAGAAGTGTGGAGCTTGGCAACTCCGCCATAGCTCGATGAAGAACTCGACTTCTGACGACGACGACGAGCAACTGAGAAATCTCCCAAAGCTGGCAAGTGTTGGCCGCAATTAATAACACATTTTCTGGTGCATTCGTTGATCTCACATTACATTCGTTGTTTTATTTTTTTTTTGCGGGGCAGAACGAAAAATTGCCCCTCGCGTTAGAATTGTGGTTGCATCAGAATCAAGTACCGCACACTGCCACGTATAAGTCAACCTTTTCAGAAATAAATATATCAAAAGTGGGTATCAAGCGTTACAATTGTGGTTGCATTGGAATCAAGTACCACACATTGCCATGTATAAGTCAACCTTTTCAGAAATAATCTCAAAAATGGGTATAAAAAAAAATTATAAATGAAGAAAAATATTTTTTTATTGCTCAGAATTTGTGTGTGTCTGTCGGAAAGGGGGGTTAGGTCTATATTTGGAGTTGACCTCTATGTGGCAATATACGGCAAATGCGGCACACTTAAGGGGGGACATGGGCCTGAATTTCAATATATTTTGAAAACATTAATTTTTCAACTTCGAGGTTTTTGGTTTTAGAAACTAATTACGGTATACACCCTAACACTAAATTTCATAACCATGCGCCAGATAGTTACATTGATATAAAATATTTTCAACACATTGTGAAGCCAAAACAAAGTAAAGAAGTTCAATGTTTGAATGCATTTTCCTGAGTTCCGTTTTTTGCTGCAAATTTCATACGAAGGAATCTTTTGTTCGAAGGTAAAATTATTCCGGTACCAGAATTAAGATGTTACGGAACTAAAATTTACTGGGGAATCGGGCTATCTACTTTGTTTTGTTTTAAGTTAAAGTCCTCGTTGAGAAAAAAACTATGTTTTCAAAAATTTACATAGGACAGATATGCATCTCATATTTTGAGGTAGTCACACTTCCTGAAATAATTACATTTGATTTATAAAAACTAGATAGCGTAAAGTCCCACATCCCCCACTTTATATTCAAGCAGTTAAAATGATGCTTAATAGCTTCATTTGCATATCATAAATTTCTTAACGAAGAGTGGCACATCTTATGCGGATATGTAAAGTTGTCCTAGAGAGCTGGAAGTTTGCACAGTACACCTACATCTGAAGTTAAATCTCCCCTGCAAATTCCGTTCCGATCACACAATTAGTTCAGAAATTCAACCTCTAGCCAGTGTCCCCCTTCAACGAAACTGGGCGAGGCACAGACCATATCTTCGAGCACAAGGCCGGCGGCGGAAATGGGCAACCCAGCCTCGCCGTCGTCCGTGGGCAGCGCCGCCGCGCCGGTTTCCACCTCGGAGCGGGACGACCGGATGCTTTGACTAGACGGGCACCCTGAAACAGGGACGAAAGCCTCAGTCACACTGCTAATGCATCGTCCAAGGCCAACTCTTGCTCGTGTGATGGTCTTGCCAGATTGGCGATACAAAAACTGTCACATTCAAAGCATATAAACATACAAAACAAATACGCTCGAGGCTCGTCTGCAAATAATTTTGCCGTCGTGTCTACGGCAAACACCGCGACATTTGTGACTACGCTGGCTTGGACGTCGTGGCCCCATCTCTTCTTCCGCTGCCACAATGTGTCGCTAAGAAGCCCGGAAAGTACTCTATCATAACGCCAGAAAAGAAGGCAGCAATTCTCAAGCTAATAAAAAATGGCCGAACGCAAGCAGAGGCGTAACCTGAAGCAAGGCACTATTGACGGCTTTTTTAAGCCCGCTTAGATGTAATAAAGGCAAGTCTTTTAATCTGCTGATTTTTTGGACTGCTCTATCATTCAAGCATTTTTTTCGGTCCCTGCAAAGTAAAAAAAAGAAACTGGTCGGCGACTGTACTCCACTATGGCGTGATAGTTGGTTTGTTGCATGTGCTTGTTGACTCTACAAGTTTACTCGCGTAAATTAGTTTTTTTCAACTTTCGACTAGTCGTTGGAAAGCCATGCTCTCAATATTAACACTCTTTTTTTCCCGCCGCTAAATGCCGCCGCAATGATCGTTCACTCACTCGTGTCGTCTGCGCTAGGGTCAATGAATGTTCGTAGAATACCGAATTCCATTCAGTCCACTTGCTGGAAGTCAATCTCCCAGAATCCAGTTCCGATTGTCTGGTTTAGCCCGTCGCGAAAGTTACCAGTCGACAATTTCGTGGACTGACCCAAAACAACACAAAACATACAAAAAATGTTTCCGCTCCACCACGGCTACGGTGGGTACGCACGGGTGGTAGCACTGGGCATTGATGAGTTAGGACTGAACGGAAGGTGCGCTGATTTTTAGTTTTTTTTTTTTAATACCAAGCATTTACTAATCTGGTTTGCCAGAGAAGATTGCTGGCTCATTTCCTCACTCTGGTTGCACTGGTGTTGCGTTTTAAACTCTCCACCTAAGACACTCAGCCTAACACTCCACTTCCACGTGTTTCGAGGCGAGAGAGATGAGACGAGACAGTGATAAGCAGGTCACGCACAGCTCGGAACGAAAGAAAGAACTTTAATAAAAACAAACCAGTGTTGCCACAAACCAGAAAAGTAGACTGAAGAACTCGCATGAGAACGAACGCTACACTGTACGCACTTCGCTTCAACCACACAGGGCAGCACCTTAGTGGGGATCGCGACTGCTACGCCGCCACTCAATTCTGAAACGAAGATTGGGAGTTTTGATACTCTGGGAACATTCAGTGACTCCAGTCTGTGTGTGCTATTTGCAACGGTTGTGGTTCCGAAATTCGTTCTCCGGGTGGTGGGTGTGGCGTTAGGGCATCGTAGAACTCTTCTGCTCTGTTGCGAACTGTTCAGCAGCGGGATGACGGAAAACACCTCTTGAATTTTCTGACAAGCAAGTCGGCAAAAGCAATTCACGACTGGCAACATTGATTCTACACAGTGGAACGGTCGAATTGTTATCATTCTGAAGCACAGCTTGCTCGGTGGCCCTAATGTAGACCGACTGCACTACAGGCTTGGCTGCTTCATCAAGACAGAATCGTTCGGCCCATTATTTACGTTTAACTGTCGGTTGGCCATGCCCTAATCTTGAAAATTAAATTAAGAAACAAGAAGTCATTTTTTAAAGTATCTTTTCTTTCTTGATTTACAAGTCAGAAACAATATATATTGTGGTACTAAACTCAGGAAGTGCATATTTTTATAGTTACATTGATTCAAATTTTTATATCCACGCTGTTTACAAGCATGTTTTGCAAAGCTTTTCACATTTTTCTCAGAATTCAATTTCGTTTTGTCAAACAAAACAAAACAAAAGTTTTGTCCACAATGTCTTGAGATCTAAAATATAGATCTCAATACATTCTTTGGGGGATTTAATAACTCGTACATCAAAGAGTGCAACAAGACTAACTTTTCAGGAAAATGTTAACTACAAAATTTTCTAACAGGCAAAGACTCTACTGACTCATTTCTAATTACCAGTGAAAAAAATTTCGATCTGCAATAACCTTTCCTAGAATGATGCTGAAATTATAAGAATGGTTTTGTAGCACTTTCCGCTGTTTGTAGAACATGCTGACATACTTTGTGCCACATTTTTTGAGGGGGCTCTTGTAAAACAAAGTTGGGTGGAAACATTTGTGGTAAAATTGAGGTTTTCCTGAGAAGTACAATAGATGGGAAAAAAAATTAGCTTATGTTTGTCCTTAGCACAAAACACTTAAAGTAGACATGAAAATTTAATATAAATCAGATCGGAAGAGCATATCGGCCCTTAATATTAATTACCTTTCGAGAGCTAATGTTACGATACGCTAGGATGAATGTCGGAGACCAGGTGGGCAGTAGGAAGCAAAACTGAAAGATAAAAAAAAAACTTCCGGCATATGGCAAGACTCACCTGTCACCTGTTTAACGGTGCCTCCTTCATCTTCTTCTTCAACTTTTATTATGCTGAAACAGATACAAATCAGAAAAAAATATTGGAGACAGAAGGTGGATCGGTGGCCGAGTGGGTTGACGGACCGCAGTTCGGGGCACGCGTAGCGAAAGTTTGTTTTGCTGCAGAACCCAGGGATCCTGGGTTCAATCCCCACCCTTACCCGTTTCATTACCGCGTGATGCACATTAAAGAGCCCAGGCTAACAATGGTACTAAACTGGCCAAATGTCTCATCTACAGTGGATAACAATGTTGCCATACCCTGGCAGATTAACTACTACATGTAATTTTGTTTTTATCGTTTTATTGGGGGTTGAACTAGTACTATATTTTAAATGTACCCAATGCTAGGTCTTTTACATCTAGGAACTTTTCAGTGGAACACATGCCTGTTCCATAGAATTAGCTATTTCTGTGGCTCACAAATCCAGTTTGCTTTCACACACACAGATCACACAAATTAAAGCTCATTTTCACCATGCCCAGCCGCGACAAAATAAACAATGACTTTCAATTAATTTTCATAAAAGCTCAAGGAACGATCTGTGGTTGTCAGAGTCTCCACTTACCCTTTGGAGATTAGGAGTTCTTCCGTCGGCAGGTCAGCTGGCACCCAAATACAAGATAAAATCTTTAGCCAAAAACATCCGCTCGGAAATGGCGCTCATAAAAACATGAAAGAAAAAACAACAATTCGGCAATAAAAATAAAACTGTACCTCATGAAATTGCAAAGCTATAACAATTTTATGATAAAACATAAAAGTAATCTGGAGACTCTAATACAAATTTCAAGAAAAATAAAAAAGAGAAAGAGGTAGAAAAAAAAAACCAACACCCACCATCAAATCGAAGACAACTCCAGAACTGCTTATGAGCTTCCACGGTGTGAAGGATGGACTTTACTGCGCTGCACACAAGGAAGAGCAAGGAGTACATCAGAAAATCTGCGAAATTTGTTGCCGGGACCGCCAAATTTTGCACACTTGAAGGACACATGCAAAGGAAAAAAACTTTTTTTTTTTTTTTAACAGGCTAGGTGGAAAAAGAATATTATAAAACAAATTTACAACAAAGAAAAAAAAAATTGGAGCTATATTTAAGGCTGAAAAGGTTTACTCCGACTTAACATAACAAATTAATAACAAAAGGTACAGACGTTTCGCCACCTATGCAGGTGGCATCTTCAGTATAGACCAACACGCGACCCTGACGTCATGCAGCTGCGGTGGCGCTGTTGGCGGCACAGCGCATGCGCAGACGCTTCGCTCCTGCCAAATTCCGTTTCTGCGCACGCGCAGTGCCCACACCTGGTGTGGGCAAAGGCGGGCTTGTTTGTAAACAGTGTGTCGGTCTATACACTGACACAAATGAGGTGAGGTCGACCAGTCTACTTATCACACACGTCCCCGTAAACGTCCGGCAGGGGGCCACGGTTGGTGTTGCACACCGATGAGTCACGGCGAATGAACCAGGACTCGACGAATTTTCTTTGCCCCCACCTTTGTTCTCGGGCCAGCGTCGTCGCATTGTCCAGGTCGAAACTGTGTCCAGTCGTCCAGCAGTGTTCGACAAGTTCCGTCTTGGACCGCGTGGCATGGGTGGCCTTGGCAACGTCCCTTTTGTGTTCTTTCAATCTCGTTGCCCTCTTTCTGCCCGTTTCGCCGATGTAGGTCGCGTCACAATCCCCGCACTGCACTTTGTATACGACCCCCCTCTGACCGTCTGCAGAGGTGCGGTCCTTCGGTTTCGGGAACACATTCGCTAAGGTATAATGTGGTTTAAACACAGTTTGTACGCCCAGCGGGCGCAAAGCTCTCCGAACAGCATCTGACACGCCCTGGACATAGGGAATAGATACAATAGACGTTGCCCGCACTCGTGACTCACTCCCTCTTCCCCTCTGCATTCGCCTCTGCGTATCGTTAATAAACGTCCTCGGATAATGGCGCCGCTCTAACGTACCAACCACATTTTCTACCTCTTGCAACCGTAGCTGCTTGTTAGAGCACACTGCATCACAACGTGATAAAAAGGTTCTTACAGCGGACCGTTTGTGTTCGGTCGGGTGATGCGAGTCAAAGGACAAAAAATTTCCGGTGTCACACTGCTTACGGTACACCGTCGTTTCCACACTGCCATTACTGGTCCGGCGTACCAACACATCCAAAAAAGGCAACACATTATCTGTCTCTGTTTCGTACGTGAACTGAATGGCGTGGTGTACGCTGTTCAGCGCCACGTGGAAAGCATCTAGGTTAATTCTTTTCAAAATTACAAAAGTGTCATCTACGTACCTACAGTACATTTTCACCGGAAAGGGTACTGAGTTTAGCACCCGTGTTTCGACGTGCTCCATCATTAAGTTTGCTACGGTAACAGAAATAGGACTTCCCATAGGGCACCCTTCGATTTGATGGTAAATCGTGTTGGCGAAACTGAAGTACGTTTGATTCAGGCAAAACCGCAACAAAATTATAATATCCTCCACTAGTAAGGACGTACGACTCTCCAAATTACAATCTTCTTTCAAACGCGTCTCTACATAATCGATAGCCAGGCCAATGGGGACATTTGTAAACAATGAAATAACATCAAAAGACACCATAACATCGTCACCATCAAGCTGCTGCGTACGGACTTCGGTTACAAAATCGCGAGAGTTTCTAACCGATCTAGAGTTGTCCTCAGTTAACGGCTTCAGCACTTCAACCAAGAACTTCGACAGGTTATAAGTTGGTGAACCTACAAAAGACACGATAGGACGGAGAGGGCAGCCCTCTTTATGCACCTTAGGTAGCCCGTAGATGGTTGGAGTGGCTCCGTCCGAAGAAAACAGTCGGCGGTACAACGTTTGATCCAAACGCCCTTTGTTACGCAGTACCCGTAAATGTTCAACGAGCTGGCGCTCTGACTTTGCTGTCGGGTCACGGTTCAGCTTCATAAAGTGCGAGGGATCGTTCAAGATGCTGTACATTTTCTCCTCATAATCCTTTCGATCTAGCAACACAGTAGCCTTTCCCTTATCTGCCGAAAGGATAACGATAGATTTATCTGATTTGAGATCATTTAGCGCCGTGCGTTCCCCAGCGGTAAGGTTCGTCCGAGTGCTTTTTGCATTCGCCAGGACACTTACAATTCGGCTGCGAGCCAAGTTTACCCCAGTTGTATCCTGGATATGCCGCAACTTCTCCTCAACCTCCACGATGATATCACGTTTGGGCACTTTCCGTGGGGCAATTGCGAAATTCAGGCCCTTCGACAATAAGCTCATGTGGTTGTCCGATAGACGTTTCGAGGAAAAGTTATGCACTGCTTCTAAACTATCCTGTTCTGGCCGATGGCGAGGTAACAACCGGGACAACTTCTGGCGATGGACTTCGGTGCACTTGCCTCTTTCCAAGTCTTCAGCTTGTTTGCGCGCCCTGATGATGTCGCGCCCTGATGCGCCCTGATGCGCGCCCTGATGATGATGTAACCGAAGTCCGTACGCAGCAGCTTGATGGTGACGATGTTATGGTGTCTTTTGATGTTATTTCATTGTTTACAAATGTCCCCATTGGCCTGGCTATCGATTATGTAGAGACGCGTTTGAAAGAAGATTGTAATTTGGAGAGTCGTACGTCCTTACTAGTGGAGGATATTATAATTTTGTTGCGGTTTTGCCTGAATCAAACGTACTTCAGTTTCGCCAACACGATTTACCATCAAATCGAAGGGTGCCCTATGGGAAGTCCTATTTCTGTTACCGTAGCAAACTTAATGATGGAGCACGTCGAAACACGGGTGCTAAACTCAGTACCCTTTCCGGTGAAAATGTACTGTAGGTACGTAGATGACACTTTTGTAATTTTGAAAAGAATTAACCTAGATGCTTTCCACGTGGCGCTGAACAGCGTACACCACGCCATTCAGTTCACGTACGAAACAGAGACAGATAATGTGTTGCCTTTTTTGGATGTGTTGGTACGCCGGACCAGTAATGGCAGTGTGGAAACGACGGTGTACCGTAAGCAGTGTGACACCGGAAATTTTTTGTCCTTTGACTCGCATCACCCGACCGAACACAAACGGTCCGTTGTAAGAACCTTTTTATCACGTTGTGATGCAGTGTGCTCTAACAAGCAGCTACGGTTGCAAGAGGTAGAAAATGTGGTTGGTACGTTAGAGCGGCGCCATTATCCGAGGACGTTTATTAACGATACGCAGAGGCGAATGCAGAGGGGAAGAGGGAGTGAGTCACGAGTGCGGGCAACGTCTATTGTATCTATTCCCTATGTCCAGGGCGTGTCAGATGCTGTTCGGAGAGCTTTGCGCCCGCTGGGCGTACAAACTGTGTTTAAACCACATTATACCTTAGCGAATGTGTTCCCGAAACCGAAGGACCGCACCTCTGCAGACGGTCAGAGGGGGGTCGTATACAAAGTGCAGTGCGGGGATTGTGACGCGACCTACATCGGCGAAACGGGCAGAAAGAGGGCAACGAGATTGAAAGAACACAAAAGGGACGTTGCCAAGGCCACCCATGCCACGCGGTCCAAGACGGAACTTGTCGAACACTGCTGGACGACTGGACACAGTTTCGACCTGGACAATGCGACGACGCTGGCCCGAGAACAAAGGTGGGGGCAAAGAAAATTCGTCGAGTCCTGGTTCATTCGCCGTGACTCATCGGTGTGCAACACCAACCGTGGCCCCCTGCCGGACGTTTACGGGGACGTGTGTGATAAGTAGACTGGTCGACCTCACCTCATTTGTGTCAGTGTATACTGAAGATGCCACCTGCATAGGTGGCGAAACGTCTGTACCTTTTGTTATTAATTTGTTATGTTAAGTCGGAGTAAACCTTTTCAATCATGAATTCACCCGGCTTTTGGAACATTTTTGCATATATTTAAGGCGCAAAACAAATTTGTAGTTGGCTCCCGCGCGAGTTGCCGCTGGTCACGTGGTAGGCCTGTGCGCCGCCGCCGCCGCACACTGAGCGTTGTGCGACGCCGCTTCAACACGTTTCTCCATGCCGCCGTTGCCACCGCCGCACAAGTTCGTCTGCTTCGGGGTGCCGCCGGCACAGATCTATCACGTCTGCTTGCACTTTTTCAGGACTTTCCTTTGGGCTCTAAAAGTTACTTATTAATCTTAGTTTTTTGTTCTACTTCAAATGAAGATGAATAAGTTACTTTTAGAGGCCATAAGGAAGCTTCCGAAAGAGCGCAAGCACCACGTGATAAATAAAGACCAGTCACGTGATAAATAAGGGCCACTTTTCCGCGGCGCTAACTACGAATTCGTATAGCACCGTAAATATAGCTCTAAACATTTTTTTTCTTTGTTGTAAAACCGTTTTACGACATTCTTTTTCCAACTAAGCTGTTAAAAAAAAAAAGTGTTTTCCTTTACATGTGTCCTTTAAGGGGAGACCCTGGTCTTGAACATTTTTCTGTCATTTCTGATCTAATGTACAATAAACTTCCACATCTACTCTTAAGTTTTTGTGATAAGCAGAAACATAAGCTATATTTTTCCTATCTACTATAACAGCGGTTCTCAGCCAGTGATGTTTCGCGGACCCTTTGTGGTTCGGCGGAGATGATGGAGGATCCCGTTCGTGGTGAGGGGAAGGGAAAGGTACAGTTTGATTATGATAATGATCTAATAAGTGTATAAAACTAAGGGCTGGAGTAAAGTAGACTGCTCCCATTGACATACACGCGAGAAAACTCGCCCGAAAATTGGAATGTTTCGTCTCAATCGGATAAAAGACAACTTTTATCGCCAAACTTGACTCACAAGGCAAGGCTTCGCGGACCCCTAAAATGCCTTCGCAGACCCCAAAGGCTCTGCGGACCCCCATTTGAGAACTGCTGTACTATAGTTTTCAAGAAAACCTCAACTTTATCGCAAATGTTC